GGTCACAAATCAAACCGCAGTAAATTTAAGAAAATTAAAATTCTATCAAGCCTCTTCTCTGACTACAACACTATGAGACTACATACCAACTATAAGAAAAAAAACTGTAAGAAACACAAACACATGGAAATTATACTATACATTTCTAAATAAGCAACAGGTTACTGAAGAAATCAAAAGGGAAATAAAAAAATTCAAGACACAAATGACAATGAAAACACAACAACTAAAAACTTACGAGATGCAGCAAAAGCAGTTCAAAGAGGGAAGTTTATAGGAATACAATCCCACCTCAAGAAACAAGAAAAATATCGAATAGACAACCTAACTTTACACTTATAACAACTGGAAAAATAAGGGAAAACAACGAAAATTAGTAGAAGGAAAGAAATCATAAAGATCTAAGCAGAAATAAGTGAAAAAGAAATGAAAGAAACTGTGGTAAAGATTAATAAAACTAAAAGTTTGTTCTTTCAGAAGACAAAGCAATTGACAAACCTTTGGCCAAACTCATCAAGAAAAAAGAGAGAAGAATCAAATCAACAAAATTAGAAATGAAAAAGGTGACGTTACAACAGACAATGGAGAAATACAAAGGATTATAAGAGAATATTATGAACAAATGAATGGCAATAAGGCTTTCCTGGTGGTTCAGATGGTAAAGCATCTGCCTCCAATGTGGGAGACCTGGGTTCGATACCTGGGTTGGGAAGATCCCCTGGAGAAGGAAATGGAAACTCTAGTACTCTTACCTAGAAAATTCCATGGATGGGGGAGCCTGGCAGGCTACCGTCCATGGGGTTGCAAAGAGTCAGGATAACCTGGAAGAAATGGGCAGATTCACAGAAAATCTTTCAAGACTGTATCAGGAAGAAATAGAAATTATGAACAACCCAATTACAATCACTGAAAGTGAAGCTGTGATACAAAATCTCACAAAAAACAAAAGCCCAGTACCAGATGCCTTCACAGGAGGATTCTATCAAACGTTTAGAGAAAAACTAATGCCTATCCTTCTAAAACTCTTTCAAACAATTTCAGACGAAGGAACACTTCTACGAGGCCACCATCACCCTGAAACCAAAACCAGACTAAGACAACACAAAAAAAGAAAACTGCAGGCCAATATCACCGATGAATGTAGATGCAAAAGCCTCAGCAAAATGTTAGCAAATAGAATTCAGCAATACATCAAAAAGCTCATACACCATGATCAAGTTGGGTTTATTCCAGGGATGCAAGGAAACTTCAGTACACACAAATCAATCAATATGGTACACCACATTAACAATTTGAAAGATAAAAACCATATGATAATCTCAATCGATGCACAACAAAAGCCTTGTCAAAATTCAGCACCCATTTATGATTAAAACTCTTAAAAAATGAGCATAGAAGGAACCTAACTCAGCATAGTAAAGGCCATATATGATAAGCTTACAGCAAACATTACTCTCAGTGGTGAAAAACTGAAAGCATTCCCCCTAAGATCAGGAACAAAACAAGGGTGTCCACTTTCACCACTATTATTCAACATTGTCCTGGAAGTCTGAGATTCAGCAATCAGAGAATAAAAAGAAATAAAAGGAATCCAGATTGGAAAAGAAGAAGTAAAGCTCTCACTGCTTGCTGATGACATGATACTGTACATAGAAAACCCTAAAGATAGTATCAGAGCTAATCAGTGTATTTAGCAAAGTAACAAGATACAAAATCAATACACAGAAACCACTTGCATGTCTATATACTAACAATGAATAATCAGAAAGAGAAATTAAGGAATCAACCCCTTTCACCATTGCAACAGAAAGAATTAAATGTCTAGGAATAGACTTCATGAGGAGAAAAAAGAACTGTACACAGAACATTTTAAGACACTAATGAAAGAAATCAAAGATGACATAAACAGATGGAGAGATATTCCATGTTCTTGGGTAGGAGGAATAAATATTGTGAAAATGGCTATACTATACTACCAAACACAATCTACAGATTCAACATGATTCTTATCAAATTATCAATGACATTTTTCACAGAACTAGAACAAAAAATTTCAAAATTCATATGGAAACACAAAAGACCCCAAATAGCCAAAGCAGTCTTGAGAAAGAAGAGTGGAGGTGCAGGAATCAACCTTCTTGATTTCAGATTATACTACAAAGCTACAGTCATCAAGAAAGTATGGTACTGGCACAAAAACGGAAATATAGACCAATGGAACATGATAAAACGCCCAGAAATAAGCCCATGCACCTATGAGTACCTTATTTTTGACAAAGGAGGCAAGAATATACAATGGGGCAAAGACAGCCTCTTCAATAAATGTTGCTGGATAAACGACAGCTACATGTAAAAGAATGAAATTATAACACCTTCTAACACCATACAGAAAGATAAACTCAAAATGGATTCAAGAGCAGAAATCACTTGCAAGACAATGGAAGACCAGAAAGTATAAAACTCTTAGAGGAAAACATAGGCAGAACACTCGATGACATATATCAAAGCAAGATCATTTATGACCCACCTCCTAGAGTAATGGAACTAAAAACAAAGTAAACAAGTGGGAACTGATTAATCTTAAAAGCTTTTGCACAGCAAAGGAAACACTAAGCAAGGTGAAAAGACAACCCTCAGAATGGGAGAAAATAATAGCAAATGAAACCACCAACAAAGGATTAATTTCCCAAATATACAAGGTGCTTATACAACTCAATACCAAAAAAGCAAACAGCAAACAACCCAATCAAAAAGTGGGGAAAGACTTTAACAGACCTTTCTCCAAAGAAGACATACAGATGGCTAACAAACACATGAAAAGATGCTCAACATTGCTCATTATCTGAGAAATGCAAATCAACACTACAATGAGATATCACCTCATACCAGTCAGAATGGTCATCATCAAAAAGTCGGCAGACAATAAATGGTGGAGAGGGTGTGGAGAAAAGGGAATGCTCTTGCACTGTTGGTGGGAATGTAAATTGATACAGCTACTATGGAAGACGGTATGGAGATTCCTTAAAAAACTAGGAATGAAACCACCATATGACCCAGCAATCCCACTGCTAGGCATATACCCTGAAGAAACCAAAATTGAAAAAGACACACGTACCCCATTGTTCATTGCAGTATCATTTACAATAGCTAGAACATAGAAGGAACCTAGATATCCATCAACAGATGAATGGATAAAGAAGTTGTGGTAAATATACACAATGGAATATTACTCAGTCATTAAAAGGAATGCCTTTGAGTCAGTTCTAATTTGGTGGATGAGCCTAGAGCCTATTATACAGAGTGAAGTAAGTCAGAAAGAGAAAGAGAAATATCATATTCTAACATATTTATATATATACAGAATCTAGGAAAATGGTACTGAAGAGTTTACTTACAGGACAGCAGTGGAGAAACAGACAGAGAATAGACTCATGGACATGGGGAGAAGGGGGCAGAGGGTGAGATGAATGGAAAGAGTAACATGGAAACTTACATCACCATATGTAAAATAGATAGCCAATGGGAATTTGCTGTATGGCTCAGGAAACTCAAACAGGGGCTCTGTATCAACCTAGAGGGGTGGCATGGGGAGGGAGATGGGAGGGAAGTTTAAAAGGGAGGGGATATATGTGTACCTATGGTTGATTCACGTTGAGGTTTGATAGAAAACAACAAAATTCTATGAAGCAATTATCCTTCAAGAAGAATACATAAAATTTTTTAAAAATGTGAAAGGAAAACAAATGAAAAAAGCAGCTACACTATGTAACCTATGGGAAGGTGGTGAGAAGTCTGGCTGGAAGTGCAGCAAGAAAAAGGAGAGGGAGCACTTGGAGGAGTGGTTTTCCATTTTCAACCAGGTGGTCAGAGTTGGCTTCCTTGTGAAGCAACAGAGACTGAGCGAAGACCTGAGGGAGGTTTGGGAGCATGAGGAGACCAGTGTGGCTGGAGCAGAGTGGGAGAAGAGGAGAGCAGCAGGACAGGGGGCTGAGAGCTGACAGGGACTGGATGTGGAGGCCTCAGGGCACATGCTGAGGGCTTGTGCTCAGAGTGAAGTGGGAGGTGGTGGAGGGTGGCTGTGGGTTGGATTGTGTCCCCCCCTCAGAAAATGTTGAAATCCCAACCCCTGGAACCTGTGGATGTGACTTGCTTTGGAAATATGGTTTTGCAAATATAATTAGTTAAGATGAGGTCACACTGTGTTATGGTGGACCTAATCAAATGACTGGTATGCTTATAAAAAAGCCATGTGAACACACACACACACACAGAGGCCATGTGAAGATAGAGGAAGAGTTGGAGTGAAGCCTCTACAAGGCAGAGAAGGCCAGGTGCTGCAGGCCACACCAGACGCTATGAGAGAGGCCTGGAACTGACTTTCCCTCAGCGCCATCAGAGGGAATCAGCCCTGCCAACATCACAGTCTCAGACTCCTGGCCTCCCGAACTGTGAGAGAATAAATTTCTCTTATCTGAAGACATCTCCTTTGTGGTACTTTATGATGGAAGCCCTAGGAAACTCATACAATTATCAATAGAGTATAGAGTGATACTCTATTAGTATAGAGTGTTATAATGGTAGTATAGAGTGGTGTGTGTATATAAAATAGTAGTATAGAGTGATATAATCTGACTGATATTTTTGATTGGTGATGTCTGGGTTCATATTGTTCTTTTTATTCTTCATGCTTATTGATATTACCTTCAAACGTGAAAGACTTGCCTGCTGAAAGGTCACAAAGTTCTCATCTGAGTCTTTGATTTTTTATACTTTTAGATCTTGCATGTAGAGCTCTGAGCATCTGAATGTAATCTTTGTGAGTGATGCAAGGTAAGTACACAAGGAAATGGAGGTTTGTTTCCCCCCATATGGATATTCCACAACCATTTGTTCAACAAAAGGCTATCCCCCCTCCATTGAATTATCTAGACTCCTCTGCCAAGTATCCATTGACAACATACATATGTCTGGAAATGCTTCTGGACTGTCAGCCCTGTACCATGGATCCACAGCTCCAGTACTGGACATGTAGAGTAAGTATGAAATTAGGCTGTGTTAATCTTTCACTTTGTGCATAATCACAATTCTTTGGGCTATTGCCGGGCTTCTGATCTCACATAAATTGCAGTATCAGCTCATGAGGGACTTCTCCAGTTGTCCACTGGTTGAGATTCTACCTGCCGATGCAGGAGACACGGGTTCAATCCCTGCCCTGGGAAGAGCCCAAAAGCTACAAGGCCACTAACCCTGAGCAACACAACCGCTGAGCCTGTGCTCTAGAGCCTGCCAGCTGCAATTACTAAAGCTGGAGCACCTAGAGCCTGTGCTCTGCAACAAGAGAAGTCATCACAATGAGAAGCTTATCTGTTGCAATTAGAGCATAGCCCCCACTCACCACAACTAGAAAAGCCCCATGTGTACAGTAGCAAAGCCCCAGCCCAAACAAAATTGCAAAAACAAACAATCAAATGAATCTTTTAAAAAACAATCTGCTTGCAATGTGGGGGACAATGCTTCGATCTCTGGTCGGAGAACTAAGATCCTACATGCAGTGGAGCAACTACTGAGACAGCATCTCGACTGGAGTGCCTGTGCATTTCACCAAGAGATCCCGCGTGACACAATGAAGTTTCCACATCCCCCAAGTAAGACCCAATGCAGAGAAATAAAGAACTAAAATAATTGTTTAAGAAATAGCTCATCAATTTATACAAAAATATTTGCTGGCATTTTGATGGACTCTATGGATGAGTTTGGGGGAAACCGAGGCCTGAACAATATCAATTCTTCTCGTCAGACATGATTGAAGAACATGAATGTGATACATCTCTGCATTTTTAGGTCTTCTCCAATTTCCCCCATGATGATGTGTGACAAATTTTCGTAAATGTACCCTAATATTTCATAAAGGGCAAGGAGTTCTGTGTGTCTGAATCCAACTAGGCAAAGGGGTACGGGAAAGTGAAGTTATGGAGGCAGAGAAGATGCAGGCTGGATCACGTAGGACTTTTCAGGCCACTGAAAGGCTGTGGCTTCAACCCTGACTGAGACGGAGCCCGTTGGAAGGTTTGGAACTGAATAATTACAGGACCGGACAGGTTTTAAAGCAACCTAGCAGTTTCAGCAGTCCATGTAGTATGGGGTCAAAGTAGCTGAATGATTCCAAGTTTGCTGCCTGAAGGAGGAAGAATCAGACAACAGTCGCATCCCCCTGGTGAACTGACTTCACCATTCTGGGCCAGTTTGGGGAGCATTGTATAGAAAGGGCAGTCCCCAGTGCCCTTTCTTTAGCTTTTGCACTTTCCTCCAGCTGCCCGTTGGAGCTCCCCTCACTTTTTGGCGATTTACCCACAGAAACTCTCATTTTTCTCCTTTTCTACCATATGGTTGGTAGTTTCCTGGCTAAGAGCCAGTCCCTTAGCAAGAAAATTAAGTAATACACAAAACTGTGGTACCTCAATTCAATAATAGTGAAGACTTTGCTATTACAAGTGAAAAAAGGAACAAATCAATAAAAAAATAGCCACCTTGGTTTAAGCCAAAGGGAGAATTTCTGGGTCTGTGTAACTACAAGGTACAGAGGTAGTTTCTGTCTTCAGGCAATGCTGGATCCAGCATTTGGTTCCCTGAGATCTGCCTTCTCTCTCCAGCTCTCCCCCTCTGTCCCTTGGCCGCCTGCCTCCCCTACAGCTCCCAAAGTGTCACTGGTTGGATGATATCAACACATCTGGAGGAAAGCAGTGCTCCGATTGGCCAGGCCTGAGCCACATGTCCACTCCTGGGATTGGAGATGAAGTCAACTCTGTCATAATCATAATAGGTGAGAGAAAAGAAAGGGGTGATTTCCCAGGGTGACAGGAGGATACCAGGACCAAGAGAAGGAAAATGGACGCCGGGTGACAAAACCCATAGATGTCCTTGATGGTGCAATACACTTTTGATCAAATTCAAAATCAATTTCTATTTTTTTTTTCTTTAAGCGAGATAGGAAAGATTCTTTTTTTTTTCTTTAAAGCTAAAATTTATTTATAATAAAGAACTGGCCTGTGAAAAGCAGTTTATAAACAGTTTATCCTGTTCACATTACGCATTATTTCAATTATCATCCACAACGTTGGTATAGTAACTGAGACAGACAGGAGAAACCTAGGGAGGAAAAAAGGTTTCAGAGTGTAGCCTGACATATTTCTGGGGGTCCTCTCCTTTGGTCTTCGAATAACAGTTCACTGGTTTTAGAAGGAGAGTAGACTAGGATTCATTTACTGCTCAGGTGCCTTCTCCAAAGTGTGATAAAACAGTAGTAAATTCAATAATGAATATCTGAAAGTCAAGCCAATGTAACTATAATTGGGAATACCTTTCTTAATCTATTATCACAAACATCCCAGTTGCCTCCATCTTTCTTAAAAAATTCTTTCAAAAGTTAAGACAATTAATTATACCACATCAATTCCCTCAAAAGAAAAAAAAAAGAGTACCATTTAGCATATAAAAGTTACACATTAAAAGTGCATATATATCTTCCTTAATTGGCCCAGTCATTAAATTTACATTTGGTCATCCTTACTTTTAACATATAGAATTCTTCATGTAAATGTAGGTCACTATAAATTAAAAAAAAATTAATTCAGCACTAAACATGCTTTCTTCTTATTGAAATCTTAATCTCAATCAGTTCTCAATCATTGTAAACTTGGATAAACTCACAAAGAAACACAAGTAAAGGTTTGTTATGCTTCTCTTAGTTTGTTGGACAGTTAACATACAAAAATCACAAATTTCACTAAAAATTTGGGCCAACTCATTGCATATTTGCCCCCTGAAATGAAAAATAAATTAGAACTGAAGCAGTGTATTGCCATAACTTACCTTGAAGGTAAGCAGGTTCTCCTGTATTTATAGAACTTAGACTAGAAACATTACCAGTCATCTCCAACGCAAGTGCTTTTTTAAAGGAAAACCTAGTTTTAAACTTTTAGTACAGGACAAACCCTACAAAATTCATCTGCTTTTCTCAAACTAATGGAAGATCCTTTTGAAACTTACTATCTTCAGTTATCAGTATTACTGCATTATGGAGCTAGTGCAATCCTGCATAGCCTTGGTCTCAATGACAAGGCACAATAAAAAAATTAAAGTATTACATGAACAAGAGAAGTCACTGAAGATAATTTAAGGCCTTGAAGTGAATTAGAGTATAATCAGTCTAATTTAAAGCTGAAGAATAAACCATAAATTATCCACCTGAAATGCAAGCAATATGCTTTTTCAGCTTCTGTTCTGTGGACAAGACAACAGAAACAACTCTTGCTTATGGTTTGTGTATTAGAATCCTTCTGGACCTGGAGGAGTAAAAGTCAATTCCATTTTTCTACAGTTCATGGAAGGTTTCAAGACTGTTTTAGCCGTTTTCATGGAATACCAAACTGTGGACACTGTGCAGATGCTAGTGCTCAGAAGGCTTCTGCTACCAAATGTGGGTGAGACTGAATCATGGACTTCCACCCGGATGTTTCCATTATGTCCGCTGCTTGGTTGCTGTTCCAGTTTTTCCCATCTTTACACCCAAGCTGTCGAAGTACACTGCACCTATTAATAAAGTCTATGGCTTGTGCTTTCAATTGTTCTGCACTGTGCAAATCTGCAAGGACAAGGGTATCAGCAACATTTTCTACTGAGAGGTTACTACACAAAGCTTCTTCACACATGACCTTCAGCTGTTCCAGTGCATATTTGTCTGCAGCTGCCAACAAGTTGTCAGCCATTTTGTCAAGGTTTGGTGCTTTCCCTGTGTAAATGAATCTCATCATTTCTTTAAAAACCTCAGGGTCTACATCATTTATTTCCACTCGATTCTTTTTGCTTTCTTCCATTTCATGTTCAAACATGGCATTAAAAACTGGGGATCGAGCTCACAAAATAATGTAAGCTTGTCATCTGGTAAAAGACCATTAGCTTCATCAAGCAAAAAATCTCTTCGAATGAATTTTTTAAAACCCCAGTCCTTCCCTTGTACAAATCGATATGCTCTTTGGCTTTCCATTGCTTTTGTTTCTTCCCTTTTAGCATTCAGAAGGGAAAATTTGAATTTTGCTCGAACTTCACTTTTTGGACAGCTGACTAAAAGCAAATATAAGGATAAGTAGTCTTTACTTTCATCATCTAATCCTTTTGGATTTACTCTCAGGCACCATTTCATTTTGTCACTGGGGCTAGATGAGAATGTTGAACTTTTTAACACTTCACCCATTTCTTCTCGATAAAAACTGAAGTTATTAATGGTCCACATGTAGGAAAATTTTACTACTTTAACCTGTATATAACACCAGCTTTCTGCTATAGGGCCGACAGACATATCTCCAGAGAGAGGTGGGGTGGGTTCCCGAGACATTGCCACTTTACTGCAGTCTTCTAAGATGTATGCAATGTCCCAAACAGGTGAGCACTTTACCGGACGTGTGGGGTAGCGGCGGGCAGTCCCAGCGGCGGCTCCTCTCCGGCTGAGGTGATGGCGGCGAGTTCCTGTGGCGACCGCCTCTGCCAAGCCGCATCCCTCCTCCCCCAGGAAAGATTCTTCATTAATGCAAGCATGGGCCCTGCTACTGACCCTCCCTTCAGCTTCCATTCCCTGACTCTGGGGGTCCACATCCACTTCTTGGGGGTGTCATCTTCCCAGTGCTCCCTCACAGACCTTTGCTGAATTAAAGTTTCTAAGGAGGTGCGTTTTCTCAACAGGGAAATGGAGCAGACCATTATTTTCCAAAGCAAAATCATTTCAAAAGTCATGATTCTTCATGAAGATATTTAATCAACATGGAAATCTAAATACCACAATGTTTTCCCTTAATGTCCAGTGATGACATAGACAGTTGAGGGGGGCTTATTCTGGGTGGTTATACTCTGCATTGCCCCACATGTTCATATGGTCAGAATGTACTGAAAGACAGGAATATGCCAGACCCAGAATTTGCAATTTGCTTTCATCTCTTTCCATATCAGTTCACAGCTATCTGGTTTGCTTTCTGATTGCCAT